GACAGATGTCTCGTCCAGTCAGCGGTGAGTAATACCAAACCAATGGTGCTGTCTCAAACTATACCTACCTCTTCCGGTTTGTCTGATTTGTCGTTGTGTTTTCTGACATTAATTTGTTTTCGGATTTGTCTTTGTGTTTTCTGACTTGTTATTTTGTTTCGAATTTGTCATTGTGTTTTCTGACTTGTTATAATGTTTTCTGAGTTGTTGTTGTGCTTTCTGAATTGTTATTTTGTTTTTTAGACTTGCATTTGCGTTTGTAATTTGTTATTTTGTTTTCAGAATTATGATTTGTTTTGCACTTCTCGACCACCGTACTTTTGACATTTTTTGTTTGCTTAATTATTTGTCAGCTTTCTTGTTTGTTCTTACTTAAAAAGTTTTTATTTTATTAATTTTCTGAGATAACAGATACTAAACGTTAAATTGTCCATATTCATTCATGCATTCATGCATTTATTTTTGGGGGGGCTGAATTTGTTACGGTGAATAAAACTTTAAGATTATGATACTAAGGAGTTCACTTGTCCACATTTTGAGTGATTGATTGATTTTGAATTAAATGGTAATGCTGAATATAGATTCCATAAAATAATAATAATAATAAAAAAAAACATTACATTTGGAAATTGTAAGCTTTTTCAGATTTTGGACCTCATTGTTTTTTATTTAGTTATAATTTATTTATTTAAGACATTATAGTGTGTGTGTGTGTGTGTGTGTGTGAGAGTTAGAACTGAGAACATTTTCATGTTCGTTCACTGTGTCCATCGTTGGTGTATACTGTGTTTTGTAGCGCTGGCTGCTGCGTGTTCCTGCAGCAGTGGAGCCGCTCATTTACACGCTGTTCCATCGACAGCTGCGCTCACAACTCCACAAACTACTGCCGAACACACTCATGAAAAACAATTGCGCAATTAGAGCGGTACTTGATTAGAAACATTCCTTAGTGCTCGATGTAAAGTACATGTTTTTATCGTGATACAGGTGATTCATTTGTAATATTATTTAAATAGCCTAATGCCAAAAATCCTTAGTTAATGTAGCCTACATTCAAGTAGTGAGATGTGTAGTGAAACTAATATATTAATTGAATGTACATACTACTATGTTAAGCACTAAATTCTCTATCAACTTTATCAATATTTATTATAAAGTGTTAAATGAATGCAAGATAAATTAAACATGTAGCTCTTAAATGGATAGTTGACTCGAAAATGAAAATTGTAGTCTAACTCACCCCCATGGGGAATAAAATAAGATATTTTGAGAAATGTCTCACAGTTTTTTTTTTTTTTCAAAATTGAATGGTTACCAACATAATCTTCAAATATCTTGTTTTTCACAGAAGAAAGAAAGTCATACAGTTTTGGAACAACATGAGGGTGAGTAAATCATTTTTGGTTGAACTATAGTATATATATATATATCCCTTTTCTGGTTTACAAGGCTTGATAACTTTAAGAACACGACCATGTAAATCTGAAGTAAACAAATATCACCGACAGTTAATCTGCTATGAATCTATAAAATATTTTTTAAACTGCATTGCAAAATGTTAGTCAGGATATGCAAACAGATTGAGTAAATATAAACAGATTTAGATGAAAATATCAGTTGGATAAAGTCTACAAGGTTTTTCTTAATGGTTTTTATGTAGGTCCAGAATGGAGGGTAATTTTTTTTCACTTTATTTATTTATTTTAATTTAACCTAAATAACCTAAAATCCAACTAAAACTCACAGATTAATGTGACCAGAGCTGCATGTGACTATCGTTAATAATAACAATACAAAATCCACAAAACAAAATGTGGCAAATCGTTTTGTTTTTAAACGATGGAAGGTATGCTTTCATATTGAATGATTTATAAGGGATGTGAGAAGCAAATTTTCTGTTTGAGGTACTCAGAGAAATTCAAGTTTATAATGGAGTCTGAAAGGCCCAGGCCTGGATTTCTTTTTCAGCTGCAGCTTGTTTCTGCATCTTGCCTGGCTTATCTATTTGTCGTGATGTCATATCTATACTTTATTTCATCTCCGGAGTATTGTTATGAGTTTGTGATTTCATCATTAAACTGCCGTTAGATTGTGGTTCAGCATTGTCGGAGGAACTGAATAAACAGCAGATGTATTTGTGGCAGATACAATTCATTTATCAGGCGTTTCACAACTGTGACACAAGACAAGATCATAAATAATATTTAACATCTGACAGTGAACAGGAATCTGCTGAATAGAACAACATGACTATCTCTGGAGAAAAATAAAATGAAGCGAAGAAGAGAGTTAAAGAGTTAAACAAGCACAGACACACAGAGGAAGAAAGAAGACCCTCACAGGTGCGCACATACAGATCTCCACTTGGTAATATATTCAAAACAACCTGTTCTGTCATCTGAAGGAACTGCACAAATGAATTATTACAAAGCTGTTAGGATTCTAGAGTCACTTCTATTACAATGATGGTTCTGTAGGGTCCCCTGCTGGGCTGGATGTAAAGACAAAGCGAAGGAAAAACTCCAACACATTACTGCTCGCCAATGACCACAGGTGATCCAATACTCAACATTTATTACCTTAAAATTTAGAATATATTGGCCACACCTTTGCCTCTTATTAATTAAACATTAGATCATTTCCATATTTCCTATCTATTATGTACACATGAAAATCAATAAATCACAAAGGGGCCAAACATTATTTGGACCATAAAATCGGATCATTAGAGGTTTGCTATGGATTGTATGTACAACAAACAGGAAGATAATCATCATATGAATGCATGGGCCATCAAAGAACATTTTGGTTAGAATGGTGTGGGCCGGATACCCTGATATACCTAAATGTCACAATGTGCTTTTCCCTGTAATACTGGTGTCCTAGAGGTTATGTCCAGCAAATTCTAACTCATTTTTGTTTAACCGGACATCCACTTTCGGCTTTAAAGTTCAAGTATAGGTTATGTATCTGTTATGTAGCTAATTATTTAATCATATTTATCTTTCTGGAAAATATGGCTTATTCTATCTAAAAAAAAAGGGCCAAAACAAGATTAAATGTATTGATATGAGGTGTAGTGTGTGAATCATTGCACTGAACACTAAAACTCTGGCCCTGGAGCAATAACGTCCTGAGGGGGGAGGGGGGTCACTTCCTATGTATGCTGGTGTAAGAGGCACAAGTGAGTGGGGTTTAAAGGGTTAGTTCACCCAAAAATGAAAATTCTGTCATTAATTACTCACCCTCATGTCGTTTCAAACCCGTAAGACCTTCGTTCATCTTCGGAACACAAATTAAGATATTTTTGATGGAATCTGAGAGCTGTCTGACCCTGCATAGACAGCAATACAACTGATGTTCCCAAGTCCAGAGACGTAGCAAGGAGATCTGTGAAATAATCCATGTGACATCAGGGGTTCAACCATAATTTAACGAAGCTACGAGAATCATTTTTATGCGGAAAAGAAAAAAAACAAACTTTATTCAACAATTCGTCCATTTTGGAGAGTATCCGCTGGACGTAAACAACGTGCTGTTCTGTGTCAGCTGCATCACGCCGGATCTGTTTCCTACGTTGTTGTGATTTGATCTGAATGAAAACAGCATATCGGGCGTGACGCAGCTGACACAGAACGGCATACGCTGTTTATGAATTGTTGAATAAAGTCGTTATTTTTTT